TTTGGGTTGGACGAGAAGGACGAACGCAAGCAACTTCGAATCTAAAGGTACAACATTTAAAAACCGATGGCACATCTAATACGAATACTAACCTCGTCAAACGTATCTTGGGTATAAGCGACTGTCCCAAGATGCAATTTTCTAAAAATCTGAAAAACAATCGAAACCAACATGAAAAAATGTTCTCGTAAGTATTGCTTTAAAAAATCAGCCAATGCACAAAGTGCAAACAGATTCCAAGATGCTGCCGGTTGCTCATTTAAGCAATTAATGAATGAAGTAAAGTTTGTAACGACTGGAATGAATTCTTTATACTTTCACGATGGGGCCATTTATAACACCTTTCCTTCCATAAAACTAATGGTGCGGCACTGATCTCTCATTATCTGTCATTGGCCAAAAGTGAGTTATTTGTTTAAAAGACTGAATCTACAACTGTGGCATGCATAGTGTGTAGTCCCCTGCTTCCTTCCAACGAGAAGTACTCAAGTATATTTATCAACCTTAGAAGAAAGAGCAGCGAGGGACCCGACCAGAGCTTCAATCCGGGTCTTATCTGTTCTGAGTCTGACGCTCTACTGCTAGGACAACATCGGTGCCAGGCAACGTGATTTCCCCATTCAAGGGAATTGGCGGTTAAGACAAAGGCTGCTTCTATTCTGGATTCGAAAGTAACACCTTCAGAGCGCTATATCCAGTAAAGTCATTCAAAGTCTTAAACGACCATTCATTTCAAAGCTGACTACAGTTAAGCAGTTTCATCAATTTTAAGGACTGTAAACATTTCCTCAAACGTACATAAATTTTCAAACAGTGTTATTTCTGTATTTTGCGTAACTTCACTTGATAATTGAATGTTCTAGGCGCAGAATGTGAAATTCCTGTCCATGCTAACGCTGATGACAACCTTTAACACGAGTCAAAATCCAGCGTTTCATAGTCTAGCAGGAAGATTTACACTAATCTTGTTTATTATATCTCATATATCATTTCTCAATTTACATTTATACCCTGAGCTAATTAACAGCCAGTCATCAGGTGGGTTAATGAGCACACATCACAAAACATGGCCATATGCGTCGCATGCTTGGATATGAACACATCAAAGCACCTTGCTATCCCCATTATTCGAATGACAAAGACCTGCTAGCGGTTTTTCAGCTGGTTGCAACGAAGTACAATTAGGCGAGTTCCTTTCTCAAGAGAATCTGCAGTTAATAACAAAAAAAATTACGTTGCGCGTTTGAACTCGTCGCCTCTAAAATGCAAGACAAATTATTAACCAATTGCGCCACTAACCTATAAACGATGTTTCTCAAACAGCCAGTGTACCACAGATTTTGTTTTAAAGATTGCTTCCTGACGTGTGAAATCTTAAACAGACAGATGACTTTCAGAACCTCTATAATGAAATAGGTTCTCTGAAATGAGAAAATGGATGATGCTATGCTAACACAATACGTTTTGTCTGCGAATGCTAGGAAATAATATGGTTGTGATCAGTTTCACGGCTGGTTGAGTTGAAACAGGGAAAACTTAAGATTTTCATTTAATAGCATTATATTTTTAATTTTTCTGTTTATAGGTTATACGTTGTACTGGTTATTAGTCAAGTAGCAGGTCGGTCAAGGTGAATGTGCCTAAAGTAAGTCCATGTCGTATATCTCACATGCCAAGGCATGACTATCACAGCATCGTACTGCATGTGATATCCGTTAAGTCAACGACTTGCTACCCATTCCTTGGTTGGTTACACTGAATCCTGCACAAATGAATTAGCGGTTCATGAAAAAGTTTTTATGCCATGAATGGGATATGAACCTGACACTAAGCGCACAAACTAGTACTATGCTAGATTTTACAACGACACTTTTAATATGTAGGGTCGAATGACTTCCTACCGCGCCACTAACTCTCAACTAGATCAACATCTTTCAAGGACGGAGGGTCCTGAAAGAAACAAGAGTAGGAAAATAGATCTGGTACATTATATTGGACAGCATTGGCAAACTAATAATCAAGAACGGTGACGTGGCGAGGCCTCACCATCACAAATGATACAGTGAAACAGACTGGTACTACTAACGATCATTAAAAAACAGAGAAGTTTCAGATCTTACCATGTTATTCTGCGTTAGGGTGCCGGTTTTGTCGCATAAAAGGAATGAGATGCGTCCAAGCTCTTCAGGGATGGTGCTGCTTCGTACCAAAGTTCCGGCTATTTGTTTATCTCGTGATATCAGAAAAGAGTAAACCAACTTTGCCATGTCCAAATTTACCCGCAAACTAGAAGTAAGTTTCCGTATGCTGTGTCAAGAATTGGATAAAATTATACCTTAAAGGGATGATGTACGAAAATAGTAACACAAAGCGAAAGTAGGTGAGATACCAGGGCCCATGGAAACCCTAAATTAGGCTATGTTGAATCTTTTGAAATGTTATGAACGTTCTCATTTTTGTAATGAGCCTTACCTTCAAACAAACCATAACCAGGGCCAAAACAGCTACGACGACGAAAAGCATTTTTGTTAAGTTGTTCACTTCATTATCTAATCGACCGATCTAAACAACACAACTGCTTGAGTCATTTGCTAATAACGCAGACAACGCTAAACAGAATCACAGACTGCTACTCGAATTCAGTGATGCAAACGAGACCAAAATTTCAGTAGCTACAACAACAAACAACCTGGGTTTACACAATGTGCTGATTATCACAATGGATAGCCAGCAATAAGGTTACTCGCATCAAACGGCGTGGCGTGCTTCTCATCATTTTTTTGGCATATAACTGCATCAGAACACTATGCTGATATCTGTTGTTCGCAAGTAAACGAATTACTAAACTTTTCTCAACTGAATGCACCAACGCAACATGAAGTAAATTCATTGCTTAAGGAAGTTAGCGATTAAAAGATATTTTCTTTTCTCTATCGAATTCGAACCCAGCACTTACAGAATTCCAGGTCGACCCCTTACCGCTGTGCTAATACCTCCTTCAAAAAAGTGCCATTGATTAATGCCATAGATTTAAATTTGATCTCGCACAGAGGAGACGCACCGCTTAACGACTTCAGAGGCAAGGAACAAGCATTAATCAATTGAAAGGAACGAAGGTTTCACTTAAGTAAATGAAAAACAATTCAACTACCTAAGAAACAACGTGACGGTTACTAGGAGTCAAAAGACTGTTCATTGGCGAATATATGATAAAAATAAGTGTACGTTACAGGATAAAACTTATATCTAGTGTAGATTCAATGCAAAACAATTTGGTGTAAGTCAGTAGGCCGATGCTGAGCATTCATTTAAAATGACACACTCGTACCGTGGCGCTCATGTAAAGAACGAAATACTACGGACGAAACGGTACGCAACGGGCCATGGCGCCCAGTTACCTTTTGGGCAAGGAATCAACACTAGCATATTAGTATGTAAGTGCAACATTGTCCTTCAACATTGGCACAGTGAATTTAACAGAAGTAACTATTCGGAGCAGCAGAAATGGCAGTAGTAAGCGCAGAATAGTACCACCTGAACATCGTGCGTGATAAGCGCGAAGAGAATCTAGCGGACAAAATGATGAGAGATCCACCTGGCACTGCACATCCTCAAACAGAACGGGGCCGTGGCCTGGTTGAGTGGTTTTCTTAGACAATCAGACAATCAGCAGGACGAAATGGATACAAAAGTAACACTGCCCGGCAGGACATGAAGGCAAAGCATTGGAAAAAGTCGCTAGCTACATATAATTCAGACATCTAATAGCCTCCCATAACAATATCAGCGAAGAGTTCAGCAAAAGAAACAAGGCACGGGTACGTTTCAGCTATATCAAACCATCGATGCTGGATAACGAATTTTTCAGGCTTACAAAGAAAGAACTGTTCGACTAATTCATCCGGATTTTTGGAGCGGAGTGCTGGTCTAGGCTGAAGCAAAGAAATGAGTAGTAACACAAAGAGCGATAGAAAAAAATTTGATGTCATCTTTTGAGACCATGTTCCACGTACGATAGTTCGGTGCCAGACACGATTTCTAGATGTACTCACTGCTGTCTATAACTCGAAGAGATGATGGGTTGACCGCGTACTTCGTCTCAACGACAATAGGAGAACATCCCTAGTTTTTAAATGGGTCGTATACCAATATGCCGGGAAGATCCAATGACGAAGTTGCATGTCAGTGGTGGAATCAAAGGACATGACACGGAGAAGAATCGCGCTAGAAGACTAGCGTCAGTTGCGAGAAGGTTGACCAAAACAAGTCATATAGGAGGATATATCAAATATATGCTGAAAATAACGATGTCCAGGTATGAAGGCCGGGTGCAATTCGTCGGGAAATTTGGTCTTGGAAGAGTACGCCGGTAATGCGTCACTCATCACACTCGAGCGTACGTACAAGTATGCCCTTTTACGTTTATGCTGTAGCATATAATGAAAATGAGCTCTTGGCGAGCATGACGTTGCTCTGGCGAACAGACTGATGTGAGATATACGTAACACTGCAGACGCTTACCATGGCGCCACGGTCAACCAACGATCAGCAAGTGGGTGGTGTAATAAAGTGAGGTCTTGTTTTGGAGAAATTGTCAGATATAATATTGCTTTACTGACATTTATATAAATATAAAATTAATGAATGTTTCAATCCATAGGTTATTAAATTCAATAACTGTCTTCAGCATCAAGAACGAAATTAACCATCAATTTAATGGGTGTAATCGCTGAATGATATCTAGCACTACACAAAAACCAACAGGCTGTACCTCACCTTGCTGCGTGCCTGTGAAGTATTCAAGGCAGAGCGGGTTTCGGAACCAGTATAAATAATCACGCCTATGACTGACCCAGAAGCAAGGACAGTATCAGTCCAAAGGACATTTTCTAAGTTTAAGGAGTCTTCTT